TGTTAGTTTTAACTCAAATTAAAAGAAAAAAAAGCTCATACATAATGAAATGAATAACTTTATCATTTCATAAGAAAAAACATGAGAAAAATATTGAAATTCTGGAAAACTTTGGCTTATTAGGCAAATTGGTCCTTGCATAGTATATATATATATATATATATATGAGAGCACAATCAAGAGATTCATAATAATTTTAACTCTGAAATATTATGGGGACTGGTTTAAAATTTGCACACAGAAATAACCTCTCGTGAGAGCAGTTGGCATCGCAGCAAGTGCAAAATAACCTCTGTTACGGTATCGACACCGTCACTGGAGTGTAGAGTGGCGATTTCAGTACCATCTATGGGTCTGCACTTCAGCTCCCCGGTATTTGGTGCAACTCGGACAATGCCATCTGTTGGTAGTGGCGTGGCAGCAGTGATTGGCTCCGGTTTCCTGCCTCAGTCAGAATGTGAGGACGATGATGATGACCTCTGGTGGGTGGCGTATCAAGATTAGCGCCATCTAGGTTGTGGCTACATGGCACAATATCAAGTCCCCGGTGGACGAATGTTATCCAGGGTTACCCAGTGAACTGTCCATCTGGTTAATGACGTTTTTATGTCCACAGAGGTGACATATGGAGTCAATTGAGCTGAGGAGAGCAGTTTACCTTGGGCATTCCACGAACTCTTAGCTTGGTCCTGCGAGAAGACTAAGTAGCCGCCGTCGATCCAAGCAGTGTGTGTTAGCTGCTGATATATGCAGTGATTTTGAAGATCGACGTACCCGGGATCGAATAGTAAAATTTACGAAAGACAGTGATGTGTCTATTGTGAAGTGATGCTAGCAAGCTACTAGAGGCTTCTGCCAGTGTGTTAACCACCCCTGTATGTGTTAGTTTGAGACCCCCTGTCAGCGTGTTGCTGAAGCCTAGTCTCCGTGGTGTAGTGGTAAGACACTCGCCTGGCGTTCTGCGAGCGCTTTGTCATGGATTCGTATCCTGGCCGGGGAGGATTTACTGGGCATCAATCCTTAACTGTAGCCTCTGTTTAACGCAACAGTAAAATGTGTACTTGGTTGTAACGATTCTTCGCGGCGGGGATCGTATTCCAGGGACCTGCCCAAAACGCTACGCGTACTAGTGGCTGTACAAGAATGTAACAACTCTTGTATATATCTAAAAAAAAGCCCTCTGCCAGTAAGTAGCTGGAGAGCGAAGGTGGGGTGTAGGCACATCGTGATAGTGTGTGGGGTGGACTGGTCCATGTAGATGGTGAACTCGCCAGTGTCTGCCAGTACGAGTGGATAAGGTGTATATGGACTGTGGAATCACTGTGTTTGATGAACGCTGCTAACGTATTTGTGTCCTGCGTGAAAGAGACACTTTGCATATACGTATGGTAATAGTTTAATTTAATATATATAATGGTGAAGGTGTAAATATATTGGTGAAAGGAATTGTGTGTTGCTTATCCCTCCCCCCCCCCTTATTTCTTTATTGCATTACTGCTTGATACAGTCAGTTCTTGAAAGCTTACTACCGACTTGGGGTTGGATATAGTAGGAGTTCCTAACAACAAGAACCCGGTTACTGGTTCTAAGTGGCCATAACAGCCCTGTTGAAAAGCAATGGTGCAAGTAGCCTGTTAGGAGACAATTCTATCAACATTAAGGGACCAAGACTTTTCAACACCCTATAAACATATGGGCCCTTACTAGCCAACCTCTCGGTGTTCAAATGACAACGTGATAAACACCTCCATAGGGTACCTGATCAATCGGGCTGTAATTCATATGTCAGACTGCGCACATTGGCGTCAAACAGTTTGGTTGACCAGACCACCTACCCGGAGCCCTGGTCAGAAACTGGACCTTGGAGACATTGATCTCCGGACCCAATTGTTGATTGAAGAAGGTTCACCATTAGAAATTGGTGACCCGAAAGTTCATCTGCTTCAGTAGCAAAACTGCTACTGCAGCCAGTCCTCGCATACAAATATGCAAGCTCGTTAATCCACCCACCAAACACCCTGCTTAGGAATGAAAACCGGTTACACATGACTCACAACTGATGACCTGCGAACACTTCCAGAACAAGTGCTTCACTGACGATTTTTGTTCGAACCACAATGCTGTAAATGCTTCACCCACTTACATCAAATACAAATAATTGCCATCAGAATCTAAACACCTAACCTAATCTATGCCTATATATGCACAATATGCTAATATATTATAATATTTATTTATATTTGAGCAAATTCCCTTTTTGAATGAACAGCATGTAAAAATTTATGACTGCATCTGTGGGGTCGACCGCTGGATGGAATGGCTTGAGTCGAGGACGGGTTGAAATGCTTCACCCACGTACTTCAAATACAAATAATCACTAAGAGAACCTAAACACCTAACCTAACCTACGCCTACCTTTACACACAATTTTTATGTATAATACTATTAATATATATATATGAGAACCCGCCTAACGATTCTCAGCTCGGTTGCGAGCATCGTAAGATTTGACATTCTATGGCAGCTAAAATCATCTAGGTTATCTTGAGATGATTTCGGGGCTTTAGTGTCCCCGCGGCCCGATCCTCGACCAGGCCTCCACCCCCAGGAAGCAGCCCGTGACAGCTGACTTACACCCAGGTGCCTATTTTACTGCTAGGTAACAGGGGCATAGGGTGAAAGAAACTCTGCCCATTGTTTCTCTTTGGCACCCGGGATCGAACCTGGGACCACAGGATCACAAGTCCAGCGTGCTGTCCGCTCGGCCGACCGACTAGGTGGTCATAGTCCACTGCTAGAGGACGTTTTCCTGCAAGGACTGTACACTGCTGACTCAGATTTGTATAACTATTTTGTGAATAATTAATTCCTATATCAAATTAGAAATACAGACATTTGTAAATAATGCGTCTTAACACTCAGTCCGCTTCTAGTAAAAAAAAAAAAAAAAAAAAGCGAATAACGTTGGTTCGTCCGGAATTTCTTTAAAATGGATCGTTGGTGTCTTTCAGTCCTACCTTGAAAAAGGACCGATTTTCCTGGTCAGGGGGCAATAGGTTGGTTTGGGAAATGTTGTTCAATGTCAACAATATTTTTTGACTAGTTGTATATGAAAAGGGCTGCAATTGTCCCAAGTTTCAGTACTGCAGCGTAAATAGAAAGGGAGATTTTTTTTTTTCAATGACTTGTACACATTTTCAAGTCTGAATAAATAAACACGTTTCAGATATAATTATTCTATGACACTTTTCTGACACATTAGCATATAATAAAGGATATGTTGATAGATAATTTCCAAAACATCTTTAGTTTTCCTAATACAAATTTTCAAAGTTCCCCCCCAAAATTATGCGAATATGTCATGTTTATTGCTATTATAAAATCAATAAATGAACTTAGAGAAAAAAGCTATCAATAACATTTAGAGACATGCACTCTACATATACGGTGTAAGTTTCATGTAAAAATTAATAAAAAATGAAAAAGTTATTTGAACGTTTATGTTAATTGAAAAAAACAAGCAAGTAATAAAGTCTAAGGTTCAAAAATCTATGGCTGAAGTCCCAACCACTTTTCTCCAAAATTGGCACCCTTACAGATAGGCATACGTGCAGTCAGGTGTATAAGTTTCATGCAAATCGTCCAATAAAAAAAAAAAGAGAAAAAAAAAATGGAAAAATATCAATTTTTTTTTTTAACTTAAATTTTTTTCCAGTTAAACTAATTATAATATTTTCTTAATATTGTGATAGCAAAGAGTCATAGATATGATTTCAGTTGATACTTCTGTTTGATAATCGTTTTTGACCATTTGGTATAAATTTGACACTTGAATCAAGTATTTATATTATCCCTTCCTTTTATTGCTCAATGCTGACACTTGGACCAGATGAAACACTTTTCATAGACACAACTCCTCACGTCACGGCTGTGATGTGAGGAGTTGTGTCTAACACAGACTGCAGCAAACTGTCATTGTGAGTGTTACAAGCTAATTGTAATATTTCACTGTGTAACTATTGCTTTCTTAGGGAGTAAGTATTATTTATGATTGCTTATTCCTCCAAACCCAAGGAGGGTGTGAGAAAGCGTCTGGTCTCGTGGTTCCTTGCTTGTTGATCTCTTGCTGCTATGAGGGCACTAAAAGCCTTTGCCTGAGAGAGCTTGGGGGGCAGATGTCTTGAAGGTCCCTCAAGCTGCCGACACAACTTGCCAAAGTTCTACATAATAAGTCAGCAGACGTCAAGTATAAAACAAACTTTGAGAGGAACAAGACATTTTCTATTCTTTGGAGGAATCGACAATCAGAAAATAGCACTTACTACCCAGGAACAAAACTGTTCAATTGTGAATAAGAGCAATGTTCATTTATGTATCATCTCAGAGCTTCTACTAAATGGAGTCGTGTACCCTTGGTGAGGCGTGATGAGTGTATAATATAGTGTTGAACACTGGGCCACTCTGAATGGTCGCCAGGCGTGCTGGAGTAGAAGTCTGGGGTCGTGGATCACTTACACCCATCACCATCTCGCAAAACAAAACTGTAATTATTTCAGTTGAATTGATCCATATTCTAACAGACATATGATAAGTGTTAAAATAGTGGATGAATGTTATATTTTACGGATGATCATTATATTTTACACTGTCAAGTCAGGGAAGGTACAGGACTTCAATTAGTAGAAGGGGTTAGATAAATAATTTTTTTTTTTTTACTTTTTACACTTTTGTTAGCAGGATGAGAGCCTTTTCCTTACCATATCTCATGGTAAGCATTACCCATTAGTTTTCCACTGGAGCACGACCCGCCAATCAGACATAAACAGGGAGAACATAGATATATAGACAAACATATAGAGAACATAAAGACAGTAAAGTTAGAACTCAAGTTCACAAGTGCAGTTGAATAGTGGAACAGGTGAAATATTGTTCAGCCAATCTTTTTCTGGCTGTACAGAGCCTGCATTGTACCTTCATAACCGTGCTTGTATTAATACCAGGACGGAAGCGGCCCTTACAACGCCCTGTCATCAGGCACCCACATCACCCCCAACCACTGGGTGACGGAGACCGTCCAGTGGAACGGTCGTGCGCAGGTTCCTGGATATTACAGGTGAACATGTAGTGGTTAATTGTGGTGACCTCCCTGACCATACCCCACCTTACCCCTCCCTGACCACACCCCACCTTACCCCTCCCTGACCACACCCCACCTTACCCCTCCCTGACCACACCCCACCTTACCCCTCCCTGACCACACCCCACCTTACCCCTCCCTGACCACACCCCACCTTACCCCTCCCTGACCACACCCCACCTTATCCTTCCCTGACCACACCCCACCTTACCCCTCCCTGACCACACCCCACCTTACCCCTCCCTGACCACACCCCACTTTACCCTCCCTGACCACACCCCACCTTACCCCTCCCTGACCACACCCCACCTTACCCTCCCTGACCACACCCCACCTTACTCCTCCCTGACCACACCCCACCTTACCCTCCCTGACCACACCCCACCTTACCCCTCCCTGACCACACCCCACCTTACCCCTCCCTGACCACACCCCACCTTACCCCTCCCTGACCACACCCCACCTTACCCCTCCCTGACCACACCCCACCTTACCCTCCCTGACCACACCCCACTTTACCCTCCCTGACCACACCCCACCTTACCCCTCCCTGACCACACCCCACCTTACCCTCCCTGACCACACCCCACCTTACCCCTCCCTGACCACACCCCACCTTACCCCTCCCTGACCACACCCCACCTTACCCTCCCTGACCACACCCCACCTTACCCCTCCCTGACCACACCCCACCTTACCCCTCCCTGACCACACCCCACCTTACCCCTCCCTGACCACACCCCACCTTACCCTCCCTGACCACACCCCACTTTACCCCTCCCTGACCACACCCCACCTTACCCTCCCTGACCACACCCCACTTTACCCTCCCTGACCACACCCCACTTTACCCTCCCTGACCACACCCCACCTTACCCCTCCCTGACCACACCCCACCTTACCCCTCCCTGACCACACCCCACCTTACCCCTCCCTGACCACACCCCACCTTACCCTCCCTGACCACACCCCACTTTACCCTCCCTGACCACACCCCACTTTACCCTCCCTGACCACACCCCACCTTACCCCTCCCTGACCACACCCCACCTTACCCTCCCTGACCACACCCCACCTTACCCCTCCCTGACCACACCCCACCTTACCCTCCCTGACCACACCCCACCTTACCCCTCCCTGACCACACCCCACCTTACCCTCCCTGACCACACCCCACCTTACCCTCCCTGACCACACCCCACCTTACCCTTCCCTGACCACACCCCACCTTACCCTTCCCTGACCACACCCCACCTTACCCTCCCTGACCACACCCCACCTTACCCTCCCTGACCACACCCCACCTTACCCTCCCTGACCACACCCCACCTTTCCCTCCCTGACCACACCCCACCTTACCCTCCCTGACCACACCCCACTTTACCCCTCCCTGACCACACCCCACCTTACCCTCCCTGACCACACCCCACCTTACCCCCTCTGACCACACCCCACCTTACCCTCTCTGACCACACCCCACCTTACCCTCCCTGACCACATCCCACCTTACCCTCCCTGACCACACCCCACCTTACCCTCCCTGACCACACCCCACCATACCCTCCCTGACCACACCCCACCTTACCCCTCCCTGACCACACCCCACCTTACCCCTCCCTGACCAAACCCCACCTTACCCTCCCTGACCACACCCCACCTTACCCCTCCCTGACCACACCCACCTTACCCTCCCTGACCACACCCCACCTTACCCCTCCCTGACCACACCCCACCTTACCCTCCCTCACCCCACCCCAGTTTACATGTGAAATGTGACCTATGAAGGGCCTCTTTCTCCTCTTGTCCCCTCATGTCTGTCTCTGCCTTGGGAGTTCTAGCCAGTCAAGTAACAGTAAACTTCCATGATATTTGCATGTAATAACAATAATAATAGTAATAATAATAATAATGTAATGTTACACTCCCTACACAGATGCTTGGCGGCCAGCGACCTCACCACCACCACCTCTGACCCTCTTATCTTCCTGGTCACTGGTGAGACAATGTTGACTTACCTCAGTGTTAACGTTAGGGACTGTTAAGGTTACAACAGGGTGCTAGAGTACCGTCTAATGGGATTATGACAGGCCTGGCCCCCAGGGAAACAGTTCCTTACAAATAATTATATTAGTATGGTCTGCCATCCAGGGCAGATCACCTAACTTAAGCAAGAGGGGTGATGGATACTCATCTTGACGCTCTTAATTTATTAAATTTGAAAATCACCCCCAAGTACAACAGAATACTTTACGTTACCTCTCTCTGGCTACACACAGGCAGGAGACCAGAGTCACATACAACAAACTAATGGTATAGTCTACTATTCCTTAAGGGACAATTTAATTTGAACTAAATGCATATAATTATAGTGTACCATACTTATATCATTATTTTTGGAAGTGTTTTCCCTGGTGGGAGGACGTATCCCACCCCCATGAGATGGTACTCTAGAGCCCTGCTGTAACCCAAACATGCCCCAACTTTAACATGCATTATACATCAGTATTTCTTACCTTTCTTAATTTTCAATCTTATACATTTAACTTTTTAACTTATATTAACATTTATTGTATAAAAATCTATTGGATACAATTTGTGCTACATTCGTCTATTTCGTATTTTACAGCTTATAATAGTAATGGTTTGTTCTGAATTTAAATTATCCACAAAAGTTTGTATGGCCAATATTGTTTTGTTGTGCAGATGGTGAAGATGTACACCGGAGTGTGTCCCTGGAGGCGGAGGTGAACGGAGAGTCGCAGCTCCACCAGAACCTGCAGGTCCTGGAGGGGGACAACCTCACCTTCCGCTGTCGAAGCATTAAGGTGCTCAACGCTGGGGCTTTACAGTGGAAGCTCAATGGTCAGCCCCTCACAGACCGCGACAAGAGAGAATGGAAACTTAATGTGAAGAGTGAGTTTATTTAATGTTATTTATGTTGACAAGATGGTTTTATTGAACTTAAACATAAGGAGGAGAGGGTCTGTTTATCCATCCCAGCCTCCACCTTTCTTGATCCAGTGCTTCTTCCCCGTATTCAACAGGTAGGTGTGTGTGTGTGTGTGTGTGTGTGTGTATATGTGTGTGTATATATATATATATATATTATATATATATATATATATATATATATATATATATATATATATATATATATATATATATATATATATATATATATATACACACACACACACACACACACACACACACACACACACACACACACACACACACACACACACACACACACACACACACACACACACACACACACACACACACACACACACACACAACACACACACACACACACACACACACACACACACACACACACACACACACACACACACCACACACACACACACACACACACACACACACACACACACACACACACACACACACACACACACACACCACACACACACACACACACACACACACACCACACACACACACACCACACACACACACACACACACACACACACACACCACACACACACACACACACACACACACACACACACACACACACACACACACACACACACACACACACACACACACACACACACACACACACACACACACACACACACACACACACACACACACACACACACACACACACACACACACACACACACACACACACACACACACACAACTATAACCTGAAAACACTTAACAGAGTTTTACTAATTCTAACGCTAAACAGCTTGTCTTGTATACTCGCATGTGGGTGAGGTATCTTGAAACAGTTTTGAATGAGGTGAACAAACTTTTGACCAACACAAGACAGAACACGGTTCAGTAGGTATAAATTGGATAAGTGAAAGGGAAGAATGGAAGTAACTGCAAAGGGCCTATTGCCGTATACTTCCTCTTGATACTTCTATATTGGTACGGAGTCTTGAAGTGGGTAGAATATAGTTGTGCATTAATTGGCTGTTGATTGCTGGTGTTGACTTTTTGATGTGCAGTGCCTCGCAGATGTCAAGCCGCCTGCTATCGCTGTATCTATCGATGATTTCTGTGTTGTTTGTTAAGACTTCTCTGGTGATGGTCTGGTTGTGGGAAGAGAGTATATGTTCCTTAATGGAGCCCTGTTGCTTATGCATTGTTAATTGCCTGGAACATAATATATATATATATATATATATATATATATATATATATATATATATATATATATATATATATGCAAACAAGCCTGAATGGTCCCCAGGACTATATACAACTGAAAACTCACACCCCAGAAGTGACTCGAACCCATACTCCCACAACTGTATGTACAGGGACGCCTTAATCCGCTTGACCATCACGACCGGACAAAAGGAAGTGATAGCCGAGGCTATATGAACCACTTCCCCGCCGGCACTCGATGGTAATCTTGGGCATAGCATTTTATCAAATCACCTCATTCTTTGGGGCAACACGTGAGGAAAACAAAAAACTTTGTGTTCCTCACGTGTTGCCCCAAAGAATGAGGTGATTTGATAAAATGCTATGCCCAAGATTACCATCCGAGTGCCGGCGGGAAGTGGTTCATATAGCCTCGGCTATCACTTCCTTTTGTCCGGTCGTGATGGTCAAGCGGATTAAGGCGTCCCTGTACATACCAGTTGTGGGAGTATGTGTTCGAGTCACTTCTGGGGTGTGAGTTTTCAGTTATATATATATATATATATATAATATATATATATATATATCAGTACAACTCGATTCAACGTACCCCGATTCAACGAATCTCTGGCTAGTTCGCACACTTTTCAGGCCGAATTTACTCACCCGGTTCGACGAACAATGGTTCGCCGAAGCGAGGGATGTTCGATTTGCTTACGATGTCCAGACAGAGTTCACAGACTGGTGGAAAACTTTCCCATTCTATAACAGATTACAATTAATAATTCTCTCATATGACAAGTTGGATCACACAGTGGATCACACAAGTGGACCACACAATGGACCACACATGTGGACCACAAGTGGTCCACAAGCTTACGATTTTGGGACAGAGTTCACAGAGTGGTGGAAAACTTTCTCATTCTATCACAGATTACATTAATAATTCCTTCATAAGAAGTTGGATCACACAAGTGAACCATATGAACCAAACACCATCCAAAATGGTCCACACAAACACCAGCCAAAATGGTCCACACAAACATCAGCCAGAGTGATCCACACAAGTGAACAACTGAGTTTCCATGATTTTCGTTCACTGATTTGGGGCACACGTATCTTTGTACATTAATTTAAGATGAAGCGTGATTACCTAGCTACATGTGGTAAAATCTCCTTATAGACATTTTCTGTGATGAAACAAGATGAGTGAGGGTGGACAGATA